TCACTCTCCTTGGGTCTGAACGGCTTTGCTGCCTTTCCGGGGGAAAGGTGTTGCGTTACCTCCCCCCACCGTCCAGGGAGTTTTCCGGGCGGGACGAAACGGTCGCCTAGGAGCGGCGTTCTCGGGGGCGCGTAGCTAAAATCATCGGCAAGGTTTTTGACCTCCACCCAGGCGTCATATCCATTATCGGAAACAAGTCATCATTTTATGGCGTTACTTCCGTTGCGTTGGAAGTCATGCAAGTGGCTTGGGGGTTTTGGCTTCGAGAGGGAACCTCCCTACTAGTCTGCCACGCCACGAAGAGGCAAACCCCAATTGACACCTTCGAGTTGCCTCGGACTCCGACCTAGAGACTCCAGTCTTCATCACCCCTGGTTGTATTAATACACAAGGTCCGATTCCATTTGCTTTTAATAACACATATACTAAATGTGTCTATATTTCAAAAAAAATATATTGTTTCTTAAATACAGAAAAACATTTCAAAATATTTAAAAGAGACGAAAATACAGGTAAGATTCTTCATCCATAATCATCCTTTTTTGGTCCGCATGTTCTCCGGAGATTTTTTCCCCCCATGTGTTTAATTGGTTTTCTGCCTTTTTTCGTAGGGTCCCAGTTTCACTTGAGTCTCTAAACGCTGGTCAGATTACTGTTTTATACATAATTTTCTTTGTTTTCATGTAATGTTTCTAGTATTTTCTGACTCCTGAATTTTTTGGTTGCTAACTTTCAGCCGTGCTTGTAGGGATGCACTCTTTGACTGAACAAACGCGTTTGGTGTATCTTAACTACTTTCCGGTAACAGTGCTATTTAATCATTATATATACGAAATACTGAAGGGATTGGTTGTTGAGGGTGTCTATTTGTTGTGAATCATGAGTTTCACTCAGAGAGTATCACTGAGTGATGTCACCGTCTGGAGTAGGAGCTAGGGACGCGGTTCCAGAAGTTTCATGGCATCCTGTAGCAGCCTAAACAACCCTGTAACAAACCTGTAACAAGCCTGTAGGAACACTGTAACAACTCTCTAAAAACCTTCTAAAAACCTGTAACAACCCCCTCTACCTTTCACCAGCATTACAACCCTAATTTCAAAATTTGTTTGTCAAACTGCATAAATATTTATGTCAACCGTTGTTAAGCCTGTGACAATGAAGTGTCTCGGTTATATTTTCAGCAGGACCTTCACCATGGCGTCTCACGTTTTTCTAATGGCTGTGGCTCTTTCATGTAAGTATAGGAAACAATGTATCTAAAATTATAGATATCTTTCAAACGAAGAGCTGTTTAGTTTAGGCCTGTCTTATTTTAACATTCTATTTATGGAAAAACTTTAATTTCAATGACAGTTGAGTACCTTCCGCCTGTTGTCAATTTAGAGCCGCTGTTGCAGGAAGTAGTCAGTGGCGTGGAATATTATTATTATTATTATTATTATTAAAGTGGTCTTATATATGGCGGTACGCAAGTCTAGGGCTAGGCTCACCATGAATCACATAAAAATTAGCAAAAAAATAACATGGCATTAAGAAACTGTTACATAAAATTATTAATTTAAAATCAGCTTTGCAAAATATTGACTTCGCCCACTCAAGTACTACTGACCCTGTGTAGCCATGGACGGCACCCAGCAACATCCACTCTGAGGGGCATCCTTGTATTTATTTATTTATTTATTTAGGCATTTTTATATAGCGCTTATCATAAAGCTCTAAGCGCTTTACAGTTATTAAAACATGTAAACTAAGTAAATACAAATGAGACACTAGGATAGTAACTACTATTCTATAGAAACAATGAAAATGGCTATAAAAAGAGGACATTTTTGGGGAAGTCAGCTTAGCTCTCTTAATATAATACCTAGTATCCTTTGAAAAATCTTAGTTCCTCTTAACGGCCTACTACAATGAAAATATTTCATGATCGTGAAAGAATGAATCATTAGACTGAAACATCAGTTTACGTTTCCATCAACTGACAGGAAATATCTATTGATCTCCCCAGCTGGAATGCAAAGCTCGATACTTCTTTGCATAGTTTATGATGTAACACGACTATTACCGATTAAAAATGACGTATGTAGAGAATTGTTTAAAGAATTTAAATAAACAAATTTGAAAGGGTAAGAAACATCCTTTTCTGGTAATGCAACGAAGGTCCCGAAAGCTGTCTCTCTTGGCATCATCATCAGACCAACAGACGACGTGAATTATGTTATGGCATTACTTTGAATGATATGGCATTACTTCTAAACACACGTCATTAACCCTAGTAGCTTTCTATTAGATTATCAAAACCATGGTGTATCATAGTGTTACGCAGGGACAGAGTCGTATGCAAGAATGCTTCGGAAAGCGTTCCTGTACTAGTGTGCTTGCCCCACGGCAGGAACGCCATATCAGTCAGCAGTCTCACAGGACAGTCCCTTTAGCTATGCGAGCTGCGTTGTGTGGCAGGCATATGGGAGGAAGATAATCCCCCCTTTTGCTGCTTAATGTATTAATCTGTCAATGATCTTTTGATTTGAATTCGTATTACTTAATCCCTTTAATTTAAGAAATCATATGTATTATTATAATTTTACTCTGTCATGTTCAGATCTTCGTCTTTGAAGAGGGAAGTCTGATTATTTACTGTATTTTAATTTTTTTTTAAATTCGTCAACTTTTATAATTTGTATCCACATAAGTAATAGTTGAGTAAAGTGCACACACACACACACACACACACACACACACACACACACACACACACACACACACACACACACACACACACACACACACACACACACACACTTATATACAAATGTAATATATTAGTAAAAAGCACACACACACACACACACACACACACACACACACACACACACACACACACACACACACACACACACACACACACACACACACACACACACTTGTATTTTCTATTACAACAGTTGTTTTTTAAATATTGTTTCTTAAAGGTCACATCCAACTTGCGACAGGTATGTTTGAGTTTAAGTATATTTTGATTGGTTAGTAACATTTCAATCCTTAATAATTGTATTCCTTAAATCTCTGCACAAATCCTGAACTAACGCCATCACAAAAGGTTTCTGGCCGGGTAGTGAAAGGTTTTGCAATAAACTCTATATTTTGTTATTGCCTGGGAGTAGCACATCCAATAAAAACCCAACTAAATCTTTTGGGAGAAAAAAAATGGTGAGTTAACGACATGCAATTATGGTCATGTTGAAGAGATTTGTTGATTAGCCTGAGTTCAGCTCAATGACCTGGGGCGTAACCTAAGTGTAAGATAAAACAAAATCAAAAGAAAAATCAAAGAAGTATAACCACTTAAATGCTTGAAGTACCATATAGTATAACCATCATATTCTTGTAATATGCATCTTGCATTATCAGTGTATTTCTGTATGCTTTTTTTCTGGTTTTGAAGGTCTCAACTTAAGTATCAAATGACTTAATTTTAAATCTTTGCCTAATCGCCTTATTAATGGCTAGTCTAAACAGTTCAACTCAAACATCTTATGACTCTTAAAGTCAACATTAACATTAACATATCTATATCCTGACTCTATATGACAGTCGTCAAGTGCCATCTTAAGACTCTTCATGATAGTCTTAGCCAAAATCACCTCGTCTGACCCACAGCTTTTATCTAGCAATGCCTCAATGCGAAAACTTTTACCTAAACTGTCCTAATCGGACCTCACCATTTATGAATGGGATAGATTTAACCAAACCATGTCTCAGTGTGATAGCTTTAACCAAACCATGTCTCAGTGTGATAGCTTTAACCAAGCCATGTCTCATTGTGATAGCTTTAACCAAGCCATGTCTCAGTGTGATAGCTTTAACCAAGCCATGTCTCAGTGTGATAGCTCTAACCAAGCCATGTCTCAGTGTGATAGCTTTAACCAAGCCATGTCTCAGTGTGATAGCTTTAACCAAGCCATGTCTCAGTGTGATAGCTTTAACCAAGCCATGTCTCAGTGTGATCGCTTTAACAAAGCCATGTCTCAGTGTGATAGCTTTAACCAAACCATGTCTCAGTGTGATAGCTTTAAGCAAGCCATGTGTCAGTGTGATAGCTTTAACCAAGCCATGTCTCAGTGTGATAGCTTTAACCAAGCCATGTCTCAGTGTGATAGCTTTAACCAAGCCATGTCTCAGTGTGATAGCTTTAACCAAGCCATGTCTCAGTGTGATAGCTTTAACCAAGCCATGTCTCAGTGTGATAGCTTTAACCAAGCCATGTCTCAGTGTGATAGCTTTAACCAAGCCATGTCTCAGTGTGATAGCTTTAACCAAGCCATGTCTCAGTGTGATAGCTTTAACCAAGCCATGTCTCAGTGTGATAGCTTTAACCAAGCCATGTCTCAGTGTGATAGCTTTAACCAAGCCATGTCTCAGTGTGATAGCTTTAACCAAGCCATGTCTCAGTGTGATAGCTTTAACCAAGCCATGTCTCAGTGTGATAGCTTTAACCAAGCCATGTCTCAGTGTGATAGCTTTAACCAAGCCATGTCTCAGTGTGATAGCTTTAACCAAGCCATGTCTCAGTGTGATAGCTTTAACCAAGCCATGTCTCAGTGTGATAGCTTTAACCAAGCCATGTCTCAGTGTGATAGCTTTAACCAAGCCATGTCTCAGTGTGATAGCTTTAACCAAGCCATGTCTCAGTGTGATAGCTTTAACCAAGCCATGTCTCAGTGTGATAGCTTTAACCAAGCCATGTCTCAGTGTGATAGCTTTAACCAAGCCATGTCTCAGTGTGATAGCTTTAACCAAGCCATGTCTCAGTGTGATAGCTTTAACAAAGCCATGTCTCAGTGTGATAGCTCTAACCAAGCCATGTCTCAGTGTGATAGCTTTAACCAAGCCATGTCTCAGTGTGATAGCTTTAACCAAGCCATGTCTCAGGGTGATAGCTTTAACCAAGCCATGTCTCAGTGTGATAGCTTTAACCAAGCCATGTTTTACTCTGACAGCCAAACCAAAAGTGACGTGGAATGGGAGGCTCGTACCAGACGGTGGAAGGATTCGCGTCCCAATCACATTCTCAACTTCTGGGGAAAAGTTTATTAAAGAAGCATTCGTATGTGAAGGCTCAGATGCAGCTGAAAAAATGATGTTTTCCTGCATAATACCAGGGTATTTCTTGCCGGCGACTACTGGATGGTTATACCGATCCAGAGAGATTTTCACATTTACCACTGAGAACGTGGATAAACTGATTTCCTGTACATGTAGCGTCTCCTATTCGTCTCTTTGGACCGAAACATCATTGTTTTACTTAACCTCACAAGGTAAACACTTGAACATTTCAATTTAAAAACACTGCAAGGTATGTCGTAAATGCTACGTCTACAGATATTGTTTGGACGAATTAAATCAATGGTGTGTTTAAATCAGGGGTTTGTACCGAAGCTTGGAGCTGGAGCTGAAGCCTTTGGAGCAGGGCCATTTTGCCCAGAGCTAGAGTTCTTGCTTACTAAGGCCTTTCAACCCCGTCTGGGGCATAGGCCGTCTACAAAAACTTTCCACTCCTCACGGTCCTGTGCTTTCCTTTCCAATTGCTTCCAAGGTGTATCCCATATTTTGCGTGTCAGCCTCTAGCTTTCATCTGCATGTAGTCATAGGCCTTCCTCTCTTTCTTTTTCCCTGTGGGTTCCATGTTAGGCATTGTCTGGTGGTGCTATCTAGGGTGTTTTCGGAGCGTATGCCCTATCCATCTCCACCTTTTCTTTATAATGTCTTCATCAATGGGCGCGTGGTGGGTCCTTTCTAGTAGATCTTTGTTATTGATAGTATTGGGCCACTTGATTTTCAGGATCTTTCTAAGGCATATGTTAATGAATGTCTGCAGTTTCTGCAGAGCTGGTTAATTTTTTCCTAAAATGATAATTTTCTTAAAGATGTTAGTACTTTTTTTTTAAAATATTAAAATTGATGAACCTTTTTTCTAAAGGTATGTTGGCCCAATCTTCTACAGCTATTTTGACCCAATCTTCTACAGCTATTTTGCCCTACTTTTACCAGTCATGTTGCCCTACTTCTACCAGCTATGTTTCCCTATTTCTACCAGCTATGTGGCCTTATTTCTACCAGCTATGTTGCCCTACTTCTACCAGTTATTTTGCCCTACTTCTACCAGCTATGTTGCCCTACTTCTACCAGTTATTTATCCCTACTTCTAAAGCCGTTTTGCCCTACTTGTACCAGCGATTTTGCACCACTTCTAAAGCGGGGTCGCCCTACTTGTACCAGCTGTTTTGTCCTAATTCTAAAGCCTTGTTGCCGTACACTACCACATTTTATGTGGTTGGTACATACACCTCCAGTGCATTGTTGATGTGATGGGTAAATGGCAATAAAAAACACATTATGTTTAAGACTTAGCATCCTCTCAACCACGCCAGAGCTGACAAAAACAATTTCATGAGCGGAGTATTGCAAAAAACATCTGTTGCAAATAGGTTGTTTAAAACTACATTATTTTAATACATTTCATTATAATAGTTACAGGATAATTCATGTACATCTACCAAACAATTCATTTAACATGTGATAACCTTGGCTGTGTCTGACTTTTTCACAACAGCTGACATCAAGAAGGGACTAATGGGAATGTCGATGTCTCTTCTGTCATCTGTCTTGACCTCAGTTCTTGTTGCCCAGCTCCTAGGACACAAATCCTGGCTTTAGACTCTTCGTTATGTCATCAATGTTTTATTTATTTATTTATTTTTGCAACCATTTAATTTTTTTTAATATTTTTCTCTATGACAATTTAAAGATATAAATATTTCATTTTTTGTTAACTAACGTCTATATATTTTTTTATGTTTATATATATATATATATATATATATATATATATATATATAATAAAAAGTATTGTTATTTTATTTCTCTTTAAAATGATAAGTTTTTTATATATATATTTATATATATATATATATATATATATATATATATATATATATATATATATATATAATAAAAAGTATTGTTATTTTATTTCTCTTTAAAATGATAAGTTTTATTACCAAACATTGACAATAAAATTGTATCATTAAATCTATGATATTGTTAGGTTGGGTGTTTAAGAAGCGTCATGTTTTCTATCGATATTAATCATCAAACACCCGGTATCTAATAATAAGTGAAAAATACAACAGGGGAAAACGACGAAGTATTCTGACAGAAACTTTATTTTCTGAAAAGGAAAATGAAAAGACCATTAACAAAAAAATTTAATTACAAATAAAAAAATAAATTTAGTTAATCATCAACTGCATTGTCAGTAAGTCCAAAATGAAACAAAGGTATATAACGATGAGTTGTCAAAGTATCAACTATAAGTTGATTAGATGTAAAGAGAAGAGGGTGGAAGGGGTGGGACGTTTTAGTGACATAATAAAATAATCAGGGTGCACCTTCGTTTGTTGTTGTTAAGATAATATAAGATAAGATAAGATAAGATTCTTTTATTGATCCAAATCAATGGAAATGTTTTTTGATTCCATTATACATTTTCAGCACAAAAATAAAACAATTTGAACACACGAACTTTATAATAGATTATTTCAAACAGCCATTCATTGAGTTCTCTTAGCAAAATAGGGGACTTATTCGTTCTTATTCATATGTGTGACTTCAGACTAAATTCGTACAGATTGGGGAACAAAGGAATTTTTATATCTGTCAGTCCTCGCCCTGGTGGAAACAATTCGTCCCGAACGGCCCGATCCTAAGTATCTGTGATGAAGAGGGTGGGATGTTTCATCCAAAAATGTGTTTAGTTTTACAATAACATCTTTCTTCAAATAGTTCTTCCAGTTAAGGATGTTAAGTTTGTGTTATGTTCCTAGCTTTCTTGATTAGTCGGTTTATGCGGTGTTTAATATCATACGTTGAATTCCCACACCAGCAGGTCATACTAAAATTAAGGAGGCTTCCAATAGTTGCACTGTAGGAATAAGTTAACGACTTGCTTGTTTACGCCGAAATTGTACAGTTTTTTTGAGGTTAGAACAGTCTTTGGTTGAATTTCTTATACAGCATTTGGCCTGCATATGCGAAGATGACTGTCACCCAGAGCGGAAAAGTAAAAATGTCAACCCCCCCCCCCCCAAACAAAAAAAAAAACCACGTCCACCCCCACTTCCAAAATGGAATTTTATTTTTTTTTTAAAAAAAAATCCACGTTGATTCACAGAACACATTACAACCACCCCCCACTCCACAAAAAGCAACAACAACCACCCCCACTCCACAAAAAGCAAAAAAACAACCCACGTCAACCCCGACTTCCAAAGTGGATTTCTATTATTTTTTTAAAAAATAAGTCCACAGTATAACAATGACAAAAACAAAAACAAAATAATTGAAGGTCAGGAGGTCGATGTACTTAAGAATTGTAACAACGTTAAGTCATAGTTAATTTTACATTGAAATTACTTTATTTAAAATTTTACCTTCCTGGTGTTCAAAGCTGCAAACGTGTCAATGCCTCAATCAAAAATCAATATCCTTCGCCGTATCACTTTCAATTGAGAGTACATCAAGATTAGAAAGCATTGGACTGTCTCGTGGTGGATCATGAATAGTTCTCCTGCCATTCTCTTCTTCAACCTTAATCTTCTCTCTACCGAAATTCCACACAGGTCTGATTTTATAAGCGCCTTTCCAATACCAATGTTCCACCAAATGACAGCGCTTTTTCGTGCAGAAACAATCTTGGAGAAAATTTACTTGTGATCAGTCAGCCTTGCGGGAAGTCGTCTTTACAAGGGGTGTAAATAATGGCTTAGAGCGAGATTGACGTATTTAACATGAAACATTCAATTGTATGCGATATAGACCATTTGCTTTTTGAGTTATTTACTTGTTTGTTTCGTCGTTCAAGCTCACACACGGGAAGAATTTTAATGTTCTTTTCCATTGGTCACTTTTCGCTGTACGTCAACGTTGAAAATAACTTGACTGCTAATATATTATGTGTTATTTATTTACTCTCGCCTGTTCACAGCTTTGTCAAAGTAACTAATGACATAAAAGATAAGACAGCAAAAAAAAATTTTTTTTTTAAATAATTAAACTTAACATAGAGAAACTTCCTTGTTGTGTCATGCAAAATCAATCACAGTTTTTTAATCTCTTTTGGATTTTCCTAGATCAGAGTCTCTCAAAGTTTTGCAATGTGTAGCCCCATATTTAAACTACAGCAACCTTTAAGAACACGTTGGAGGAATGCCCTGTGTTTTTAAATCCTTAAAATCAACTTCGCTTTTGCTCTGGGCGGATTGGATGGCAGGCTGACTTCGGACGGCTAATTGACCCACTTTCCGTTAACCTATCGAGCTGAACCTTTGAACATAGACGCATCGCCCATGACAACAGATTCGCTCAAATTTTCAGCTTCACTCCCACTGCGCAACCCAGAAAAATAAGTTTTTCCCTGTTTTTCAAGGGGAAAATAAAATGAAATTTCCAATAACTGCGCTAAATGAGTGTCTTTAAAGGTAAAAAGATCTTATCCCTAGTGTGTTTGGTGCGATATATTTCCTTTTGTTTTTCTGAAATTGTTGGTGTAATAAATCTGCGGCGTAGCAGTTCAGGGGCGGGTCATTAGAATATTAAAACAGTTCAGGGGTGGTTGCGTGAAAAATGTAGGGTTGCGAGCCATTGGTTGGGGGGGGGCGGGGGGGAGAGCACTAATTGGAATTATTTTAGAGTACACTATTTTTAGGCATGTGTTATCAAATTTACAGCCAAACCCTCCATTGCTCAATGTTACATTTTATTTTAAAAAATGTATATGAATTTTTTTTTTAAAGTTCAAACGCAGTTTTCTGTATACCTTGAACATGGTTTTAACATAAGTGTGTTTGACCTGAACAGCTTAAATTATTACGTCATATTTGCGCCATAGGTTGAGAATCTCCATTGTGGATCAAGATTAAACCATGTCATTGTTATAAATGATTACTTCAAGTTAGTGGCAAAGTAATATTCCTGGTAACCAACGCTAAGTCTGATAAAGGATCTCTACTTGTTCCTTTTCACAAAGGTGACCTCCAAAACCCGGAAACACTGGGATCACGTGGTTTGATCTAGGAAGTTAAATAGTTGCTCTTCACAGCGGACACAAAAATTCAATCTTTGAATCTCAGTCATACCATCACAGGTCAATGTAAAACGTTACTATTCGCAGGAAATCATCGATATCGCACGAGTAGCACTCAAGCTTTGTTTTCTAAGAGGATTTCCTTGTAGTGTAAGTAACTGAAAAAAAGCGTTTAAAATTATTGTAACTATTTCTTGCAACCCCATCTTTGAGCGTTATAGAACGATGTTTGTGTTGAGGACACACGACCTTCATGGGTTCAAAATCGCCAAACGTTATTTCCTCTTTTTTTTTTAAATAGAAAACACAGTAAGTAAAACTAAAATATTTTCAGCCAAGCATATTGAAAATAAAACAATTTTTGGCTTACAGTTGTTGTTTTTTTTAATAAGCCGAATGGAAAACATCTATGTAACATACCAATTACAGGATTTTTCAAATTTTATATATGTTAAGATTTGGCTCGTTTGTTTAACAATATGTCAAAAGGGAATGTAAACCAGTATATGTAAACAGAAGAATGCACAAAGCGAAAGACTTTTAACGAGACCCAGTTTGATTATGCTAATAACTTTATATGATCATACAAAATCAAATAAACAGAAATAAAAGCTATATTAACTTGCAGCAAAGCAAGTGAAAAAGTAAAATCCTCGAAAGATACAAATATCAATACAGACACACACACAAAGAGTAAAATCTTGTAAGGCCCTATAAGTATATTATGTCTCGTAAATGTCTAAAAATGGTGGCACAAAACTCTTTCAGGTAATGGACTTATTTATAAGGGTAGAGTTGGAACCCTCAGGATAGGAAATTCTTGAATTTGCATCCCCCTTTAGCATTCTTTAGAAGACATATAGCGTAAACAACCTTTTCCCAATTAAGGGAGGGTGAGGTTGGTACAGCGCTACACATGAAATCGGACACGTCAATATTTTTTGTTTTTTAAACGAGAAGACAAATGGTGGTCGCCACAACGCTAGGTTAAATTAAAATTAGGTCAACAGACATGCTATAACAATCGGTTTAGCCTGTAACATACAAGTGTCATTCATGTTTCAGCAGCAGTTTCAATATCATGTCTCTGGGGTATCTTACTGCTGTGGCTCTGTTGTGTAAGTATGCTTAAAATGTGATCAACTTAATGTTCAGCTTTGCTTGATTGCGTGCAGAACGTAACTGAACAAGGGAACGTCCAACGTTTAAATGGAGAGAGAGAGGGGGAGAGAGAGAGAGAGAGAGAGAGAGAGAGAGAGAGAGAGAGAGAGAGAGAGAGAGAGAGAGAGAGAGAGAGAGAGAGAGGGGGGAGAGAGAGAGAGAGAGAGAGAGAGAGGGGGGGGGGGAGAGAGAGAGAGAGAGACATAGAGAGAGAGAGGGGGGAGAGAGGGCGAGAGAGAGAGAGAGAGAGGGGGGAAGGGAGAGAGAGAGAGGGGAGGGGGTATAGTGAGAGAGAGATTGAGAGAGAGAGATTGAGATAGGCAAAAGGAGTCAGAGCAAGTCAAATTTGCTGCAAGTGCTATTCACTGTTTGAGTTGTTAAGTCCTAACTTAATTCAGGTATTTTGAGGGACCCGTGAGGAATGTGGTCCACTCCAAAAGTCTTTGTTTCTTTTCTTTTATTATTTTAACTTATGTATTTATTTGGAAAGATTGGAGGGGGGGGGGGTTATACCTTGATACTTCACACCGAAAAATGATTAGGAAGGTAAAATGAGGAGATTTAAGGAAATGATACCCATGAAAACCATGTATTTTAACTTTATAGGACCGTTTTGTAAGTAAATGTGTTTTTCAAAATTATATTTGACATTTGTATTATTTATTTGGCTAACAAATAAGACTTGGTGTTAACTTGAGAATACTTTGAATGTATTTTGATATACGCTGATGTAAATCTACCTGGTCTGACCATCATTGTTTTGTTTTATTGGGACCATTGTTTTATGTAGAACATACGATTTTGGTTTAAATGTATGTTGTTGTTTTTTTATATTTTACTTCAAATACAATAACAACTATAATTGTTTTTGTTTTTTTTTAAATATTTACACGTAGGTAAAGTGTTAATAAAGAACACCACACACACACACACAAACATATATACATAGATATAAATATATATATATACACACACACATACATACACACATATATACACACACGCCTGCGTTCTCATTATAACTGGTTGTTTTCTATTTTTATCTCCAAGGCCAAGTTTATCTTGCGACAGGTATGTTTGAGCTTAAGTCTGTTTTTTGCTTTACTGGAAGGATGTTCAACTCTCTTATAAATTATCTATAATATAGTTATCTAGTACTGTCACATCATTAGTATAGTGTCAAGTAAAATTTTTATGGGATGTCACTATATATATTGGTATATATTAATCTAATTTCATACCGCGGTATAAGCGCGAAACATTTGCAATGTGTGGACATGAAGAATAAGCAGTATCGAAAATTGATATTGAGTTACAGACCTGTGTATCCCCGTGTTAGTGCCAGAGTAATTTCATGAACTCAACAAAAACCGTAGTTTCAAGCTCCAAAGAGTAGTTTGGGGGTCAGTTANCCGATTGCTCACGGTGTTAACACAAAAAGTCCGATTGCTCACGGTGTTAACACAAAAAGTCCGATTGCTCACGGTGTTAACACAAAAAGTCCGATTGCTCACGGTGTTAACACAAAAAGTCCGATTGCTCACGGTGTTAACACAAAAAGTCCGATTGCTCACGGTGTTAACACAAAAAGTCCGATTGCTCACGGTGTTAACACAAAAAGTCCGATTGCTCACGGTGTTAACACAAAAAGTCCGATTGCTCACGGTGTTAACACAAAAAGTCCGATTGCTCACGGTGTTAACACAAAAAGTCCGATTGCTCACGGTGTTAACACACAAAGTCCGGTAGCTTTTACTGAAAAACATCACAATTTTTTTTTTTTAAATTAACAATATACCAATGAAACGAGAAACACTCCAGAAACCATTGTTCTTTTAAGATCGTCGTAGTGCCGTAGTCTTGGGCTTAAAAGTGTAGCTACTTAGAGCGAAAGCGTAGGGGTAAACAAGTCTGACTGATTTAAGAGTAAATCACGCATTGTCGAATTATGAAAACCTTTGAAAGTTAATGGCCAAAAAAGACTATGCTACTGTCTTCATAAAGTGTTGATTTGTGTTTCAAGTACATGCTATCATCTGCTATGGTGTAAAGCAAGCTCTCATTAACATTGTTTTCATCTAAGAAATGTTAGGATTGATTGATTTTCCAATGCAGCGGTTCTCAGCCTGCGGGTCATGACCCCTTACGGGGTCGAACGACTCTTACACTGGGGTCGCCTAAGACCATCGAAAAACTCATATTTATGAAGTAGCAATGAAAACAATTTTATGGTTAGGGGTCACCACAACACAAGGATCTGTATTAAAGGGTCACGGCATTAGGAAGGTTGAGAACACCTGATCTAATGTACGCATTATTTGTAATGGTAACGCATGCAGCGGCTAGAGACGTTTGACCGAGCGACCATATCAGCAGACAAATACAAAAATGAAGGAGACGAGATAAGACGCGGTGAAATGACCCTTTCGTAATGTCGGAAGAGACTGTTGGATATCCCGAAGCAGGAGACATTTCTCCCCCCCCCCCCCCCCAAAAAAAAAAACAAAAAAAAAAAAAAACCTTTCCTGTAACTAGGGCATGGCAGGGGGAGCAACCATGGAGCGACACTTTGGGTTATGTAAAAGCCTACCATTAAATAAATTGATAATCTTTATATTAACTTCCCTTTTGTTCGTGGCTGGCTGGGTGATTGGTAAGAACTTCGGACGACCAACTGATCCACTTCGCGTCAACCGATCGAGCTGAAACCTGTCACATAATCTCATTACCGATGACAACATATTGTATGAAATTTTCATCCCCCACCCCTCCGCCTATTGCGCGATAATACTTTTTATAAAGAATTTATGGCAAAACTTTGTTGGTAGGGATTGATTTATTATTTAATATCTTTGGTCGCGTATTGCCTGGTTCAATGACGTCAATTATTACGTTGTATTCTATTCATCGCCGCTCTCGTCTCTGAATACCATTTTATGATTATTACTGTCTTAGAAAACGTTTAATAATTTCATTTTGTGTGTGTGCGTGTGTGTGTGTGTGTGAGTGAGTGCGTGCGTGTGTATGTGTGTGTGTGTGTGTGTGTGTGTGTGTGTGCCTCATTTGCCTTTAGGTTAATCCAACATCTGCACTTCCTCATGGTCTACTTACGTATGTATAAAACAAGAGCTTTTCAAGAGTTCACAGTAATTACGCAACGCTGCATGGTTTTACCAATTTGATCTCTTTTAGAATGGCTTTTAACAATACGTAACAAAGGAAAAGAATACCAAAACTATTTTGAACTATAAGGAATTTAAAAAAATATTAACAATATTCAATTTAATCATGCGTTCAATTTGATATAAAAATACAAAAATCTAATATATAGAGATAAAAACAATATCAACTTACAGCACGAGAAAAAGCATAAGACTAGAAACTAGTACAAATATTAATCCACACACAGTGAAAAAATCTAGTAAGTCTTGTAAAGCTCCTTTAATTCTTGTCTCGTAAGTAAGTCTGACGGTCTGAGCCATATTTATTGTGAGTTAGTCTGAGCCCTCCAGAACAGACCCGACTTTCTGGGAACGTAAACAAACTCTCCCAATCAATGTCTGTGTTGGAACCGTTTGTTAATGGGGAGTTAAGTTGCATGCCACGGTTCAATACCACGCAAATGGAACACACAAAAAACAAGGTCAACACACTGGCTATAACAATAGAAGGTTGTACTACAAAATGTAAAGAACAATAATAAAACTAACAAACATAGCTGATATGGTGCATGTGTGGTAGTGTTATTGACAAAATCCTTACATGCGCATTGTATCGATACAAGATGGTGCAATTTTGCAACCTAAGCCTAAATTTTGTAATTGAAACTTTTTTTACAAATACTATGAGTATATTTGTAAGCTCTCAACTAAACATCTTATGACTGACACGCTAATCCTGAATATCTTGTCTTTACTTAACAGCTCAGGTAACAGTGAAGTGGAATGGCACGATCGTAGCAGACGGTCAAAAGCTGCGAGTCCCAATTAAAATTTCAAAATATGGACCAAACAAAATTGAAGAAGATTTTTTTTGTTCGGGGTCAAGTCAAATCTACAAAATTGAGTTCTCATGCCTCATACCAGGAAACATATTTCCGACGGCTGATACCGTATATAGCTCCAGTGCTAGATTCACATTTACCACATATGTGGTGAATAAATGGATTGATTGTAAATGTAAGGCTTCTTATGGCGTACTTGGAACAGGAAGAAGTGAAACATCATCTTTCCAGTTGAGCTCACAAGGTAAATTAAATATTTAAAAGCAGATTTTTTTTTTTTTGGAGATGTCTTCTAACTGTTTACTGGTGAAATGCAAACTGATAAAAATCCCTTCACAAATTTATCACAAAGAATGTAATCCTGACGATAAATTTGTTGGCCAATATCATTTATTTGCAGATATTTTGAGCGTATATGTTTTTTTATATTTTTTATTATTTATTTTTATTTGATAAGTGATAGCTTGCAACATATTGATTTCTTAAACTAACAAGATCATTTATATAGCCCTCAAAATTTCTCACATATTTATAATAGCTGACATCAAGAAGGGACCGATGGGAATGTCGATGGCTCTATTGGGATCTGTCTTGACCACAGTTCTTGTTGCACAGCCCCTTGGACACATGACCTGGTGTTAGACGACATTTTTTACTGTGATTAGATTAAATATTTTCCATGATATTTTCATAGATTTAATTTCATCCTCGACTGATTTTAACATAGATATTCTATTTTTATTTGGTATAATAGGGTTTGTTATTTAATGGTGGAAATCTATAGAACATCCGGGCATTCAGTCTGGCCAATCTTATTAAGATTTTAATCAAACATCCTGGTATTCCGTTTGGCCAGTCTCTCAACAGCTGTTCGGTACTTCTACGCTAATGTGAGCCAGCATAGTGGGTCTTAACCCGGACGAACACTTGTTTACCAATCTATTTTAGGAAAAATTTTGCAAACAAATTTAAACCGCTTAATACATGCGGAAAAAACATTGTTAAAAGCTATGTTTTTAGAAAACATTTAGTCTTAAAAAAGTATCATGACGTAAGCGATGTGACGTTTTCCATTCTTGACAAATGACAAACACTTTTTTTATTGGCGATTGATGACTCCAGCGTATTTTTATACATTCAAGACATTACCTCTTTGACATTTAGTAAACATAAAATAAATCAAAGACGACGTGAAGCAGTAAAAAATATATATTTAAACGAATAGCGTTCCTTTTTTTTTTTTTTTGGTTTAAAATAATGACAAATAAATCAAGTAAATATTAAATGATAAAGAAAGTTCAACAAGACAATAAAGCAATAAAGCCGAAATGAAAATAAATGCAAAGAAATCTGGCTGATGAAAAAAGAAACTAAGTACAATTTGAGTGGATGCAAAAAGAAAAAAAAAAGTAAAAATATATATTTAAACAAATAGATTTTCTTTTTTTTTTTTTTTGGTTTAAAATAATGACAAATAAATCAAGTAAATATTAAATGATAAAGAAAGTTCAACAAGACAATAAAGCAATAAAGCCGAAATGAAAATAAATGCTAAGAAATCTGGCTGATGAAAAAAGAAACTAAGTACAATTTGAGTGGATGCAAACAGAAAAAAAAAAGTTGTGGATTTTAGTCATATAATGTAATGATGTTGGCTAGTGAGAGGGGATGTTAAAATATATCTTTTAAGTGAAGAAAAAAACCTAGAAAAATTTCATTAGCAGCATCTGTCATGAGTGTCTTTGGAATACAGAATAATAAAAAAAAATCTTGCAATAATAAAAGATTAAATTCAATTATTTGAATATTTTGTTGTTTTTATTGTTTTTTAAAGCTGCACAAATGTGGGAGTTGCTGTTCTGATGCAGAGCGATAATGTCTTAGTATTAACTGTAGCAGTACAACTTGGTGTGTGCTATTTTGTTGTTATGCAGAATCAGGGAAGGGAAAAAGAAGATAAAGATATAATGGACTAGGTTACGCCGCCGTGCTGGAAAATGGTGTTATGAGTCTGTACTTTGGTTAATGATGTGATATCTGTGACAACAGTAGTATCAATAATAATGAAAAGGAAATGAGCGCATGTATATATAACTTTGTTTGGATGTTCTGCATTATCAGTGAGGTAATTATTTATCATGTGACTGCGTTCTTAGTGTAATAAAGTGCTCGTATTCGTTCTATAAGTGACTTTATTTATTAATGAGGCAGCAACAGTTACTCAGTTGTCATAGACTCGAGTACCAACTTAGTTGACCATCTCTACTGTCTCACTAACAACGGGGTGAACTGTTAAATTAACATTTTGAGCTTTTACGAAATCTTCATTACGTTGGATAGTTTGACGACATTACATAGGCCAATCTTAGGACCTGGGGATGAGGGCATATGTTAGGACCTGAGGATGAGGTCCTAACATGTGCCCTAATACCCAGGTCCTAACATATGCCCTCATCCCCAGGTCCTTACATATGCCCTCATCCCCAGGTCCTAACTTATGCCGTCATCCCCAGGTACAGCTCAGCACAGCTCAGCTCAGCACATCTTAGCTCAGCACAGAAAGCTCAGCTCAGCTCAGTAAAGTGCAGCTCAGCTAAGCACAACTCAGCTCATCTTATAACAGCTTAGCACAGCCCAGCTTAGCACAGCCCAGTTCAGCTCAGCATAGCTCAGCTCAGCACAGCTCATCTCATCACAGCTTAGCTCAGAACAACACAACTCCGCTCCGCTCAGCTCAGCTCAGCACAGATCAGCTCAGCACAGCTCCGCTCAGCTCAGCACAGATCAGCACAGCACAGCTCAGCACAGCTCAGCTCAGCTCAGCACAGCTTAGCTCAGCTCAGCACAGCTCAGCTCATCACCGCTCAGCTAAGCTCAGTACAGCTCGCAGCAGCTCAGTACAGCTTATAGATTATACCAATGAAGGGATTTTTTTTTGGGGGGGTGGGGGGGGGGGATTAATTTATCGTTAAATGGCATTCCAGCTATTTTCAGTAAATTATATGTCAACAAGTCTTATGACGATGTGCAGACTGGTATGCGTAGTCGTGGTCGCAAAACTGCGGTTAAGTCGTATCATGCCATTAGAATCTTTTATTTTTGTGAAAGAGCCGCCGTGGTGTATAGCAGCCCTCTGAGCAACGTTTTTAGGACATTGCTCACCTCCAAGGCTCATGGATGGGTCTATAGGGAAGTTGTCATGGAATTACCAGCTTCATCGTACCCTCTTCAGCCTTATACAGATCATTCCCAAGACCTTTGCAACCCATTCAGAGTGGGGAGTTGGGCAGCGTTCCGGAAATGACGTTTTCATGCTTAAAATCTGTGATGACGTAATCTGTTAGCGAATCGTCCGGCGAGCGTGTCGGGTTCCAAAGAGGTTAACCTCTAATCCAAATATGTGATGATTTGTTTCTTTGTTAAAGTTAGCTCGCATTGCTTATAAAATCTCTACACATACCGATAATAATTTACCCTTAAATTAAATATCAGCTACCTAATGATAAATTATGTAAAAACAAACAAGTTTTTATCTTTTATTTTTTTTTAAAGTCTAATTAATATAGTATTTCCGAATTTACAAAGCTTCCCTTTACAAGTTATATTTCTTTCAATTTAACAAGAATTAACAATAATAATAATAATAAAGTTTATTTCAAAAACACGCTTCATCCTCACAGGCTCGAAGCGAGGTACAAAGTCACCAAAATAAAAAAAACAAAAAAACAAAAAAAAACTTTAATTTAACACAATATAGCTATTTCATTATTGGTTTTAAAATTTTGTTGCGATATTGCTCGTCAATAAGGTACGGTGACTCTCTGTGTTTGACAAGTATTAACTCCAGTTGCACTGTCCCATATCCCGTTATGAATGGACGTCTGGAGGACTGTCTGGGGAGACGGTAAACTTCACACCAGGGGCGTCGTTAGGGCCGGGCTGAACGTTGACGTATCCACTCAAGACGCACGCTTGATTACGTTGCTGTGTCAAGGGTTCTCGACTCGACCCTTGTAACAGCGGATCCTCTGAGAAGAAAAAAAATAGGGTGCTTTTATTGACTGGTGGTGAGAACAACGTGCGGGTAACGGTGCACCACCAAATCCAACCCTAATGCCAACCCCACCCCACCACACTGATCCCCATTCAAATTTCCCAAACCCAACCACCATCTCAACCTACTTCCCCAGACACGTCCCAACTCCACCCCAAACCCCAATTCCCAGTTAATGTCCCAACCCAAAACCCCGACCCCCACTCTAACTGCCAAGACCCAACCCAACTGCCAACCCATCTCGAAACCATCATGCCAACCCCAGTCCCAACCCCAAATTAACCCCCCTCCCCCATACACACTAACTACCATCTTACCCCAAATGCCAACCTCAAGCCCGAATCCAAATGCCAACCGCAGTCCCTAACTCAGATCAACACACAGAAAGAGAACACTTGAACGGTGAAAGTTTGTTAAGCTTAATTAAAACGTCAGCCTCCATTGCAGTGACCTTGAACCTTAACCTACCATCAGGACGAGGCTCGTCGCATGGCTTCACGGTGTCGTCTGCTTCCTGTTCAACGATTTGCATGGTGTTTATGGACAGAGGCGGCGTATCTGCCACCAATGGGTTTGGGCAAACATTAACGTACGGTCGGGGCTTTAACTTTGAACCTTGCTCAGTTTTCTCTGAAAGAGAAAATAATAGCAGCATCGGCATTGTCATTTTCATCTTTGAATCATCAGCAATAAAGGATATCTGTGCATCGGTAGTATAATTATAGACATGGAATGCGTGTAAACTCTAAATTTATAGAGTCAGTGTAGATCTATTTTTTTTTTTTTTTGGTATCTTGTCGAGGTGGAGGCGTTCATAACCTACTGGGATCAATAAAAGTAAAAAAGAGTTAACTGTGCCATGAGAAAATACTACTATAAGCTTTAACACATTTTATCCATCCACATATGTTCCCTATATGTGTGCAGAGTTGACAATGGTGCGTTATGTTTTCATTTCTCTCAATATGTTTGACGTCTCATAAATAAAAAAAATAAAAATGACATAATATACATGACATGATACAAATGACATAATGCAAATGACATAAAATAAATGACATTATACACAGGACGTAATACAAATGACATAATGCAAATGACATAACACAAATGACAGAATACACATGACGTTATACAAATGACATAATGCAAATGACATAATACAAATGACAGAATACTCATGACTATTTTTAACAAAAGCTTTAAAATTACGCTAAAACACGTTAACAAAAACAGTATTAAACAAAACGAAAAACCAAACCAATCAACCCGGCCAACCACAAACCAATCAAGCCACCAAACACAAACCAATCAACCCGGCCAACACAAACCAATCAACCCACCAAACACAAACCAATCAACCCGGCCAACACAAACCAATCAACCCGGCAACCACAAACCAATCAACCCACCAAACACAAACCAATCAACCCGGCTAACACATACCAATCAACCCGACAACCACAAACCAATCAACCCACCAAACACAAACCAATCAACCCAGCAACCACAAAACAATCAACCCCGGCAACCACAAAACCAATCAATCCGGGCAACCACAAACCAATACACCCGGGCAACCACAAACCAATCAACCAGGGCAACCACAAACCAATCAAACCCGGGCAACCACAAACCAATCAACACGGGCAACCATAAACCAATCAACCCGGGCAACCACAAACCAATCAACCCACCAAACACAAACCAATCAACCCAGCAACCACAAAACAATCAACCCCGGCAACCACAAAACCAATCAATCCGGGCAACCACAAACCAATACACCCGGGCAACCACAAACCAATCAACCAGGGCAACCACAAACCAATCAAACCCGGGCAACCACAAACCAATCAACACGGGCAACCATAAACCAATCAACCCGGGCAACCACAAACCAATCAACCCACCAAACACAAACCAATCAACCCAGCAACCACAAAACAATCAACCCCGGCAACCACAAAACCAATCAATCCGGGCAACCACAAACCAATACACCCGGGCAACCACAAACCAATCAACCAGGGCAACCACAAACCAATCAAACCCGGGCAACCACAAACCAATCAACACGGGCAACCATAAACCAATCAACCCGGGCAACCACAAACCAATCAACCCACCAAACACAAACCAATCAACCCAGCAACCACAAAACAATCAACCCCGGCAACCACAAAACCAATCAATCCGGGCAACCACAAACCAATACACCCGGGCAACCACAAACCAATCAACCCGGGCAACCACAAACCAATCAACCCAGGAAACGAAACCAATCAACCCGGGCAATCACAAACCAACCAACCCGGGCAACCACAAACCAATCAACCCGGGCAACCACAAACCAACCAACCCGGGCAACCACAAACCAACCAACCCGGGCAACCACAAACCAATCAACCCGGGCAACCACAAACCAATCAACCCGGGCAACCACAAAACCAATCAACCCGGGCAACCACAAACCAATCAACCCAGCAAACAAAACCAATCAACCCGGGCAACCACAATACAATCAACACAGCAAACAAAACCAATCTACCCGGGCAACCACAAACCAATACACCCGGGCAACCACAAACCAATCAACCCAGCAAACAAAACCAATCAATCCGAGCAACCACAAACCAATCAACCCAGCAAACAAAACCAATCAACCCGGGCAACCACAAACCAATCAATCCGGGCAACCACAAACCAATCAATCCGGGCAACCACAAACCAATCAACCCGGACAA